CACTATGTCCGTCCCATCCAACATCACATTCATACAGATCAATTCTAACCTATAGAAGAATATAAATCAATTATATTACTCATTTAATAAACTCTACGATTGTGGCACCACTACAAAGTTTGGACCCAAAAATGTCCTACTTTTTGTATTGGGGATTCTGTGTTAGACAGTTTGCTGTTTTGATAATAATAAATTAGCAGAAATACTGACATTAAAGTTGGTCTCCAAAGTGTGATAATGAGACCTTCACAGAAGATGACCAGCTCTAAAACTCCAGGATCAGCCGTGGCAGGCCGATCATAGAACAAGTGTTTGGAAGAATGAAGTGCAAGTGCAGAGAGACCTGCAGAACACCTGCATTCACGCTGTGGTTGTGATTATGGCTGTTTCCTCCACAACATGTGCACAGGTACCACTGAGGTGTGTAAGGACCTAATGTTTATTTATTAAAATAAATTCACCAGACATATTATACAGTACACATAAAGCATAAGCAAGAAAACACAAAAACAAGTATACATACATAAAAAGTATGAAGGAAGAGAAGTGTATCACTATGTTTGGTCTGTGTGATGTGCATGTACAGAGGTCACATTTTCTCCAGGAATCTGTTCATTAGCAACCCCACCTGGGCAGTCTTCATCTGGTCCATAGTTTCTTCATGGTGATGCTCACTAGCTGCTGCAGATTCCCTTAAAAAGTCCAGAATAGCCGAACTGTCCTTGTTAATTCACTGGAAGTTTACACATTCACTATGTGATTGAAGTTCAAGCTGCTTCTCCAGCTCACTGTTACGCTGGACCTGGAGACGTGGAGTGTGATTTCTGCACCGGGAGAAAACACAAAGCCGTCAAGTCCTGTCTGATGTGTCTGACCTCCTTTTGCGAAACTCATCTTAAACCTCATCTTGAACTTCCTGCTTTGAAAAAGCACACCTTAATCGAAGCCTCCTCAAAACTCCAAGAGAAGATCTGATGGAGATCTACTGTCGTACTGACCAAAGGTGTATTTGTTCTTTGTGCATGTTGGATAATCACAAACGCCACGACGCTGTATCACTTTCAGCAGAGAGAACTGAGAAACAGGTGAGAACTAGAAATCTTTTCAGAATGAATTCATCTGAATTATATTTCTTATCTAGAATCAACTGCTTTAGTCAGTTATCAGATTTAAATTGTGATTGCAGTGGTTCAGTTCATCAGCATGATTTTAAAATGGTGTATTACATTTCAGTGTGTTGAGTTTCCACAAGTGATAAATGAATTCACATCAGAGCAGTCAGTGAACTTTGGATCAGCTGAACACCAGTTTTACAATTTAAACAATTCCACACAAGACTGTGAACTTTGCAATTAGCTCCCATTAATATTCACCCACACATTATTTGTAACCATCTGAATATATGTGATTTGTGCTCAGAGTGAGCTAAAGGGGGAGCAGATGAAATCCCAGCAGAGAATCCAGGAGAAGCAGAAGAAGGTGCAGGAGCAGAAACAGGGTGTAAACGTTATTAAGGTGCGGAGTGAGCAGAGACAGCGCCGCCCCGTGAAACAGACACCACATGCACCACCACATCCCCAGAGTCACAGTAAGAGAGGGGAGTGTGTGTGTGTGTGTGTGTGTGTGTGTGTGTGTGTG